CAGCCTCTAGCTGCAGATCGTCAGAGCTCTTTAAATTCACCTTGCCAAGGTGCTGGGGGCTTCTCAAGCCAGATCCCAGGCCCCGAGGCCTGGGGTCACTGCTGTGACTCCGACCACGAGCAGCTTCAGGAGGAAAAACCACACCTGATGTGCAAGCCAGGAGCTGAACCCCAGCCTGGTTTGTGTTGGAAGGGACCTCAAAGCTCCTCCAGCTCCAACCCCTGCCACGGGCAGGGACCCCTTCCACTGGAGCAGCTTGCTCCAAGCCCCTGTGTCCAACCTGGCCTTGAGCACTGCCAGGGATGGGGCAGCCACAGCTTCTCTGGGCACCCTGTGCCAGCGCCTCAGCACCCTCACAGGGAAGAGCTTCTATAGCTGTTCCATAGCAGGTGAAGGCTCAGTATGCTCCAAGGAAGACTTGTGCTATGGAAGCCTTAGACAGTTTCTCAGATAATATCCCCAGGCCCGTTTGCTGTGTCTGAGGCTCTTGTGAATGGTCTTGATTTTTTGTCTCTCACTTGAAGTGCACACACAGTCTCAGTGGTTATTCACATAGTGAAAACCGTCTGTTGACATCTTCTTGGAGGTTATAGATGTGCAGCTTTTGGGGCACTGAATATGGGCATTGAAGGGTACTCGTACCAGGAAAAATGTGCCCTCTATTAGCTGTGGGAGCAGCATCTTTCCACCATGCCTGGCCTTGCAGCCCAAGCGTTGTGCTGCTGTGCTGTGCTCTGCTGTCCCAGGGCCGGGCACCGCAGCTTCCACAGCACAGCGCTCCCTGTCTCTGGAGCTAAACCATATTCAGGGATAGGCTGTATTGTGAGATTTATCCTGTGTCCCATGTGATGCTTTCCCTGCTGTTGGAGAAAGGCCTCCATCCATTTTGCTTCATGGTCTCACCAATTCCCACTGTAGGCTCCCCCCACTACAGGACCTTTCCTTGGGCTGAGCTTCACCAGGCACAGCTGTAAAATCCTTTCAAACGCCTGTGTCCGGGGGGGGCAGCATCGGTGACCTGCACTCATGCAACTGCAGCACCCACACAACAGCCGCAGCCTTCCAGCCATGCCCACAAGGCCCCCAGACCCTCGCCTTGGCTCTGCAGGGGACAGGGAGGGAGCAGGGAAGCAAACCCCAACGTGGGCAGCGCTGCAGAGCCTGCCCGAGCCCCGCGTGGTCCCCGAAGGGCCGGGCTGACGCCAGGCTCCCCATCTCATCCCGCATCACCCCTGCCAGGACAAGCCTGTCCTGCGAGCCCGGAGCTGTGAGGAGCTCCCACCACGCACAGCCAAGGACAGCACTGATTGAGGGAGCGTGTGCAACCCTCCCACAGCGAGGGCCCCGACCCAAGTCCAGGGCTGAGCCCCCCCTGCACACCCCACTGCTACAGCCGGAGCCAGGCGCATCGCCGGTTGCCACCAAAGCGCTGCGCCACGTCTCCATCTCACTCTACATTTGTATGAGTCTAAATGATGCTAAATGCTTAGGACAAGAGGGACACGAGATTATAATGAGCTGCGTCTTAGCACCTTGTCACGAAGGAATTCTCCCACAGTTCATAGCAAATCTGGGGAGAAGGGAGCCCGTGGCGCACCCGGGGCCGGGCCCGTCACCGGGTAATGAGGGGTTTTACACCTTATCCCCACGAAGGAAGGGCAGATCTGGGCACTTTGGGCTGTATCCATTGTCTGTGCTGCTGCAGCACACAAAGATGCCCTCCTCCTCCTCTTCAGTACAGCCTGAACGTGTTTCTTCCCAACACCCTGACCTAAAGGATGCAGCATCCAGCCCGTATGTGAATAGGGCTGTCAGACATCAGTGTCCTGCACGGCAACACCCCACGGGTTTATCTGCGTAGGGTTTTTTAATTGTATGTGTTAAATGTCCAGCATCTTCGGGACGTTCATCTGGGAAACGGAAATGTGAGCGCTCCCCGTGCCAGACATCCGTCCGCACTGCTGTTCCTATTCCCAGTGCATTCTTTGAGAAGACCACCATCTGCTCTGACCACCACCTAAGGCAGATGCCCCTCTCAGTGCACAGTCCCAGCTCTCAAGCCACCCAAATCTGATTAGGCCTGTTCTGATGAGAGGCCTGGAGAAGGGCAAGGGAAAGTTACTCAGGAGAGAAAATAATAACCACATGTTAATTATGTTTTCGCTACAGATATGCAGAAAATACAGCAGCCAGCTCAGGATGGGTGAGCCAAAAGCAGCAGCAACACCGGGCTGCTGGAGGGGGGGATTATTTGGGGGCTTTGGGATTATTTCTTTATCCCAGTAGAGGAGTGGCCCAGCCCTGTCAGGGAAAGGCAGGATCTTATCCCCACTGCTGCCCTCTACACGCTCCCTACACCACCTCTAGCTACTGCTTCTGGTACCTCGGGTTCCCAGTAGTGACATGCAGACACGGCAGCACATCATGCACCCCCCTGCAGCCTCTGAGACCCCCCCTCCATCCCAGCTGCCTGTGCTTCACCCATCCCTCCAGCCACGGGACGGTCCCAGCACGGAGCTGCCCCAGCAGATGAGCTCGGGGAAGGACAAGCAGCCGGGATGGGACGTGTCGGGTTGCTGAGGAGCACAACCAGGAGAAAGCAAGCGGAACGCTCTCCAGAAGTGTTGGGAAAAGCAGCTGAACGGGCACTGAACCAGAACACACGCTTCACCGTCCAGCAAGAGGCTCCTATCAGCTTCCCTATTTGACTGCATGCGTGAGAGAAATGAAATACACCCACAGACCCAGCCCAAAGCAGCGAGGACGAGGAGAGCGCTGAATTCTGAGAGCTGAAGGAAATCCCTGTCAAGTTCTCTCTATATTTGAGAGCCCCTGCAGGCAAAACCCAAAATGCAGCAACTGCCTTAAAGGGTCCACGGGACTCCCAGCAGAGCGGGGCGGTGGGGCCGGGATGGTGGGGTCTGGGGGCACCCACAGACCCTGTGCTGGAGGATTTGGGAAGCACAGTGCCTAGTCTTCCCTACCACCAGTGGCTCTGGGAAGCACTCCCAGCCCCAACGTCCATCCGGTTGGGAATAAGCCCTATTGCCCCTTGGAAAATGCAGCTGTCCCCTGAGGGCACGGCTGCTTTTTGTTGGGCTTAGGGAGCGGGGTGTATCTGCTGCCTGCAGCCTGCAGGGACTCTGCCTGGGAAGATGCGGGGCCTGGACACGCTCCTCGCTGAAACTTCATCTGGGCAGAAGCCCTGGGGGACCCGCGGCCTCGCACCGGCCTCGCCGAGCCACCGGCCCCGGGGACCCTGCGGGACAAAGCAGGGGCCGGCGGGCGAGCAGCGGGGCCCAGCTCGGCCTCTCCGGGGTACCATGACTCGGCAGCATTCGGGAGATGTGGGATAGAGGCACCGGCTGGAGGGATGGAGAGGACCCGGGCAGGGCTGCATGTGTGAGAGCAGAGGGGTACAGCTCCGAATCCGCCCCGGCTGGGGCTCGGGGGGGGGGGGGGGGGGAGGAGGCTGCAAAGAGGTCTTAAAAAAAAAAAATTGCAAAGAATTTTTTTGGGGCATGGCATGGGGGAGGGGGGCTGCGAGGGGAGAAAGAAAGGAGCCTCTGAGCACCACGGAGGGAAAGGGAGAAATAATGACCCTTCCCCCTCCCCCCAATAATAAGGCAGACCAGATGGGAGGTAAATAGTGCGTTTAGAAGCATTTGCCACAGATGGGCTGCCCTCAATGGAAGCATCCTCCAGCCACATCAATGCTGGAGTCTGTGTGTGCACAGAAAACACTGCACCCTTCAGAGCAGCGGCAGCAGCAGCAGCAGCGGGAGAGGCGGGGAGGGACGGGGGGGAGAGAAAAAAAATCCCTCCCGGAGCCCTGCGGAGCCGCCGGCCCGAGGAGCGGCCCCGGGGGGGCGGCGGGGCCGGGGCAGCACCGGGCGCACCCTGCGCCGGGGGCCGCTAAAGTTGCGCGTTTCCCTCCGCGCCGGGGAGCGGAGCGCGCTCGGGACGGGAACAATGGGGCGGCGGGGCAGCCCCGGGCGGCGGCGGGGCGGGGGGGGCGGCGGGCAGCGGGCAGGGAGGCGGCCGGTGCGCCCGGCGGAGCGCCGAACAATGAGGCTCCGGCGGGGGAGTTTCCCGGGACGGCGGCCCGAGGAGGGGAGGGGGAAGCGGGGGGGGGGGGGGGGAGCTGCCCTAATCCGGGCTCTGCCGCTGCCCGCACCCCCCGGGGCACCGGCTGCAGCGGCCGCGCCGGGGCGGGCAGCGCCGCGGGACGCCGGGGCCGGGCGAGCCGCAGCGGGCCGGGTCCCTGCGCTCCCTCCGCTCGGCGCGGCGCGGCGGCCGGGCGGGCAGGGCGCGGCGGCGGCAGCGGCGGCGGGGGGGGGCACCGGCGCCCCCTCCCCGCCGCTCCCTGCCCTTGACTGCAGAGCTGTCCCCGGCCGGGGGGCGGATGGGAAATGCCGGGAGAACGTGATCGGACGGGGCGGGGGGGGGGGGGGGGGGCAGCGGGACCCGCACCGGGCGGTGGCGAGGCCCCCCCGCGGGGGGCAGGTGCACGGCGGAGAGCGCGGGGCACCGCCGCCCCCCCACACCTCCCGCCGGCAGCGCCCGGGGCCGGCGGCCGCACCGGATGGGACGGGGACGGGCACGGGGAGGGGAGCGGAGGGGGGGGCGGCGGAAGGTGCGAGGCTCCGGGCGGGCGCCTCTCGCCATCCGCATCCCGGGCGGGCCGGGGCGGCGGGGGCGCGGCGGCTGCCCCGGGAGCGGCGGGGGCTGCGGGAGCGGCCGGGCCCCGCGTCGCGCCCCGCATGGGGCATGCGCGCTCCCGGCGGCCGGCGGCGCGGCGGGGCTGGGCCGCCCGGTGCTGACGGGACAGGGCCGGCGCGGCGGTGGTGGGGACAGGGGGCCCCGGGGGTGCCCACCCCCGCCCCGGGATAGCCGCCCCCCCCCACCCCTCCCGCCCGCACCCCCGGGGAGGACAGACAGACACGGACAGGCAGGCAGACAGACAGACACAGAGCCCCCGGGGCACGGAGCGCACTAACCGTTCCCGTTTTCACCGGCACATATACCACCACTTGACCCATCTTCGTCGCCTCCCTGGTGCCGTTTCCCAGGCGGAAGCCCTTGGACCGGACCCAGAACTGGAACTTGCCTTTCTCCCCCCCGCCGGAGCCGCCGCCGGAGCCGGATCCCCCCTGCAGCACCTCAGCGATGCGCTGGTACTTGCTCCGGGTCACCGTCTTGGTTTTAGCCGAGTCCCCGTAGGTGCGCAGGCACCAGTCCCGGAACTGCCGCCCCAGCTCGCTGTCCCCGGGGCGGCTCCCCCGTAGCAGCAACGGCGGCTTCGGCATCGCCCGGCCGGTAGCGGCGGCGGCGGCGGTAGCAGCAGCAGCAGCAGCAGCAGCAACGGCGGTTCCCGGCCCCGCGCCCTGTCCCGGAGCGTGCGGCGGGGGGCAAGCGGGGAGGCGCGGTGAGCCCGGCCGGTGCTTGCTCAGCTCGGGGCGGCCCGGGACGGGCTGCGGGGCCACCGTCCGGGATGGAGCGGGGATGGAGGAGGATGGAGAGGAGCGGGGGGGGATGGCCGGGGCTCGGACAGCGACCCCTCTCCGGGCGGAGGGAGGCACCGGCGGCGCCAGCAGCAGCAGCAGCCGCTCCTGTCACAGGATCACAGGCGGCTCCGGCTCGTCCCCCTCCCTCCCTCCCTCCGCCCGCCCGCCCGCCCGTCCTCCGCCCCCCTCCGGCCTCCTCCTCCTCCTCTCAGCGGGATCCCACCTGTTAGAGCGGCCGCGACAACGGCGACGGGCCCCCCCCCTCCCCCGGACGGGACCGCCCCGGGGACGCCGTTCCCCCCGGCCCGGGCCTCGTGCTCCGCGACGGTTGCCCCCCGGTGGGATGCGCTCCCCCGGCTCGGTCACCGCCCCCGTCCCCTCTCCCACGGCCCGAACGGGGAGGGTTTACGGGGGGGTAACCACTGAACGGGGGGGGGGGGTGTCTGTCCACGGGTCCCGGTGCCGGTCCCAGACAAAGGGCCAGCGGGCGCACGTGTGAGCGGGACGGGACCGGGGCGAAGGCGGGCACCTGCCGAGCCGCCGCAGAGCCGGGGAGGAGCCGCGGGGGCAGCGGAGGGGTCTCCGCCACCCGCCCTCCGGAGCGGCCTGGAATGGAGAACGGGACAGAGCCGGGAGCTCGCCCCGCAGCGCCCTCGGTCGGGGCTGACCGTAGAAGCGGCTGCGGCTTGTCCCGCCTGACCGAGAGAGCCGCACCCCGCCCCGGAGAGCGGCCCCGGGGCAGCACCGGAGCCGGGAGACAAAGGCCGGACCCCGGCCTCGCTGCTTCGTTCCGCTCCCCCGCGGCGCTGCCCGGCCTGAGCATCCTCCCCGCGGGGCGGCGGCAGGGGGCTGAGGACCGGCACCGTCCCGGGGCGCTACCGAGCCCCGCCGCTGCGGGATAACGGGGGGGCTCCGTCACACGGGGCTCCGGGGTCGGCCCCGGGCCCTGTCCCGGGCGGTAGCTGAGGCTCCCCGGTGCTCACATGCGTGTGCTGTGCTCCCGGTGGTGCCATACGTGTGCTCCCTGTCCTGCAGTGCCGTGTGTGCCGTGTGCCCACCCAGCAGTGCCATGTGTGTGCTCATGGTCTGTCCACCAATGCCACGCATATGCTCCCTGTCCAGCGGTGCCATGTATGTGCTTTGTGCCCACCCAGCAGTGCCACACATGTGCTCCTGATGCATCTGCGGGTGCCACACATGCTCCCTGTCTGTCCAATGCCACACACGGTTCCAGTCAGTCCATCCATCCCACACGTGTGCTCCCTGCCATGCAATGCCATGTATGTGCTGTGTGCCCACCCAGCAGTGCCATGCATGTGCTCCTGCTCCATCTGTGAGTGCCACAAGTGCTCCCTGTCTGTCCATCGATGCCACACATGTGGTCCCAGTCTGCCCATTGGTGCCATACATGTGCTCTCTGTACAGCAGTTCCATGTATGTGCTCCAAGCCCACTTGGTAGTGCCACACATGTGGCACTGGTCTGTCCATCAGTGCCATGTGAGTGTTCCTGGTCTGTCCATTGGTTCCACACACGTGCCGACTGCCCGTCAGTGCCACACATGCTCCCAGCCTGCCCACTGGTGCCATGCATGTGCTCCCTTCCAACCTGGCAGTGCCACACCTGTGCTCCTGCTCTGTCCATCGATGCCATACATGTGGTCTTGTTCTGCCCGGTGCCATGTGTGTGCTCTGTGCCGGCTGGGTCACAGCAGCAGTGCGTGCTGGGGGTTCCTATGCTGTCCACAGAGGTGGGGCTGGGGTAAGGCTGTAGCAGCAGGAGCCTGTGGGAACCTGGGAGAGGGATTTGATGTGGCAGGGAGTTGTCTGAAGCCAGGACTGGAGACAGGGTGAGGGTGAGTGCGTTTCCGTGGCCAAAGGGCAGTTTGTTCCCTTCCCCTCACCCGTGCTGGCCACACTGTGCCCATCTGACAGGTCCCCAAGATGGGCATCAAAGAGCTTGCATGGTTGGCCATGCCAAGGGGAGCATGGTGAAACCAGGGGTGTCTGTGCCACCAGTGCATTGAAATCAATTATTGAGATGCACCATTGTAAACCCTGCTGACCCTCTGTTCCCCACGGGATGTCTGGACACCTCTCCAAAAATTCCCAGTGTCCCCATCCAGTTTGGGCCCAACACAGAGAGGGACTTAAGCGCAGGTCTGCCCCAGGTTGGGTTCTCTCCCCAAAGGCACACAGTACAGGATGCCTACAGGAACTTGCTAGTGCACTGCAGTATTTCTGCTGACCACTAAAAATAAGATGGACATCCTTTCCAGCCTCGGTCAGCCATGGAAGCACGGCTTCCTTGGGGAGCTGCATGGGGATGCTGGGGGATGGAAAGAGCAGAAGAGATGGATGTTCTGCACTGTTGGGGCTCGCTGGGCAACTTGCTCCCCAAGACTTGGTGGGTGAGTCCAGGCTCAGCTCGTAGCCTGCTACAGCACACAGGCACCCTGCCACTGGGCTGCGGAACTCTCTGGAGCATGGGGTGGCCATGGGGTGGGATTCCCTGTGCGAACTCTGTGAAGAGGCTTTCCAGGGGATGTTGTGTGAGGAAGGCAGTGACAGGACACTGCTTTTGCTGGGGAGCTGCTCCAGCTGGGGCTGCCTCCTCGTGTCAGACCTCCCGGCTGAGGGGGGCACTGAACTCCACTCCTTGCAACTCAAGCACTCAGGAGCCAAGAGAAAAGGGAGCAATATCTTCTAGGCACGGACAAAAGTCTCCTACCTCTGCCCACCCCTCTGAAGCTGAGGTAGGATATTGCATGTCCATTATAGTCGGATATTTTCAGAGGAACAGCCCCAATTTGGGGTTTATCTCTGCCAAATCACAGTGGCCATCAAACCTCCTGAGCTCCATTGGTGCAAAGCAGTGATAAGCATTAAATGTTCTGTAATGCCTACTAGGTTTCTCACCCATCCTCCACCTGGCTTGGTTGGTTAATAGCTGCTGTTAAGTGTCCTGACAGCTCTTTGATAGTGAAACCCCCCAGATTTTCTGTTAAGAAGCCTTGGGTTCCCACCCGATGCAGAAGTCACTCTCTGGAGAGCACCAATGTGGTTTTGGGACAGCAAAGCCAGCCAGACCACCAGCTGCTGTCCTTGCAAGGAGGCTTTGGGGAAGACCACTCACGCATGGACTGAGTGCTCAGGTCAGTGTTTTAAGTCCCAGTCCAGCATGGATCCAACAAGGGTTTGACTGGCACTGCTTCACCAGTCACAGAGAACCACAGAGTCCCAGACTGGTTTGGGTTGAAGGGACCTTAAAGCTCCTCCAGTTCCAACCCCTGCCAAGGGCAGGGACCCCTTCCTCTGGAGCAGCTTGCTCCAAGCCCCTGTGCCCAGCCTGGCCTCCATCACTGTCAGGTAGAACACAGGATATTGAGGCCACTCTTGGCCTTAAAGATAGGGGAGGGAAAAGAGGTGGGAATGTTTGGTGGCACTGGCCCATCAGCTCTGGGTTCTGGGTGACAGAGACTGGATTCATTCAGCACAGGGTATCTGCTGCAGGCTTTCTTATGGATGAACACGTAATAACTGCAGGTCCTTTGCTATTTATACTACATAAATAAAGGTTGTTCTTAGAAACTTCCAACAGATATAACCTGGATGTTGTTCTCTTTGTGGCAGTTTTTTGGGTACGGGTACCCCAGAGCCTGGACTATTCTATTGGCTTGTGGTCATTCTTTCACATACATAAAACCAAGGAAATCAGGAATTAGGGATTGTAACACCTGGAAAATGACGAATGGGGAATACCAGAGCAGCTTCCCTGAGATGGGAACCGCTGAGGACGGAAGGCGCCGCTGCCTCATGGCATGGCGAGAGGCTGGAGAAGGTACCTGGTGTGTGCAGAGCTCCCTTAAGGTACAAGACAAAGGGATGATCAACACAAGTATGAGTCATGCGCAGTGATGAACCCAGATCATTTCTTAGCCAACCGGTGGGATTTATCACACACTCTTTGTGTATGCAAGAGGACCCCTTGCCTCTGCGGAGGAGCAGCGCCGGGGAAGGCACAGGTTTGAGAAAGAGAAGGGCGAGATAAGCACTCCTGCTTTAGGGGATAAGCCTGAAACCGATGGTCAGGAGTGAGAAAGATGCTTCCTTTGTGGATGTTTCCTTCCCCAGTTTTCTCCAGCGCCGGGGCCTTCCTTTGAAGTGCCTGATGCTTATCAGGGCAGGGGCACTGATTCAGCCTGGCCATATTCCCACATTCCCTGTGTTTCCCACAGTGCTTGGTCCTCACCAGTGCTCTGCTCCAGGCCCCTGCTCCCTCTGGAAGAGCCGGGGTGGGACCAGCTGGGCCAAGGGGAGCAGTGACCATGACAAACCATGCCAGGACCCTCCAGATCCCACCCTGGCATCCCCCAGTTACATTGACAGCTTCCAGGGGAAAGTGATAACTGGGAAGTACCTTCTCCTGGAGCAGCTTTGAGTGTGGTTCATCAGCCGGGCTGGGTCAGCCTGGAGAAGAGAAGGCTCCAGATTTAGAGCAGCTCCAGTGCCTGAAGGGGCTGCAGGAAACCTGGAGAGGGGCTTGGGACAAGGGATGTAGGGACAGGCCAAGGGGAATGGCTTGAACCTGCCAGAGGGGAGACTGAGCTGAGCTCTTAGGCAGAAGCTCTTCCCTGTGAGGGTGCTGAGGCGCTGGCACAGAGTGCCCAGAGAAGCTGTGGCTGCCCCATCCCTGGCAGTGCTCAAGGCCAGGTTGGACACAGGGGCTTGGAGCAAGCTGCTCCAGTGGAAGGGGTCCCTGCCTGTGCAGGGGTTGAGGCTGGAGGAGCTTTAAGGTCCCTTCCAACCCAACCCATTCCATGACTCAATCGCTGGAGCTGCTGTGTTCTCTCCGTCAGACACAAAGGGAGCCTGAGCACCTCTCAGTCTGTGCCTGAGGCATTCACCTGCCTGTGGCTGGATG